ATTTTATATACATATATATGTTTTTAAAATATCAATACAACAGCAAACAAATTTGAAGTACCTATAAATAATTTAATGGTTGTATGATGTAACAAATTACTTTAAAAAAATTATTTGTGTCATACAGGCGTTTCGTACGCGGATTCCTAAGAATAGATAATGTTTATTAATAAATATCCATGAATGTAATTGTAATACATTTCCATACATGTATATGTATAATTTATATTTTATATACATATATACAGAAAAATAGTGTGGGAGCTGTGGAGGGGTTATCAAGGACTGTGGGGGGACAAGGAAAATGGTGTAGGGGTTATGGAGGAGCTGTTTGTAGGCTGTGGGGGTTTCAGAAAAAAAGTTAAAAAAGTTAAATTAACGGTGAAAACGGTCGAATTTCAGTTTATATGTGGGGAAGGGAAGGCTGTTAGGGGCTGTGAAGGGAGCTGGGGGGTCCATTAATGCCTTATGATCGCTATTGTGTTAAACAAAACATCATCTGTAGTTAACTTCCATTTTATCCCTTTTGCACAAAAAACATACAGTAAAGAAATCGAACTCCCTTGGAACTCGGATCTCTACAAGAACGGTTGCATTCGCCTTGAAAATAATATTATTATATAGCCTCAGTTTGCTACTATTTTTTCTAAGTAATTTCGAAACTATAACTATTGCAGGGCCCTGCCGTCTCTTGTTGAGGCATTTCTAAACACGCTATTCTTACAACAAACGTAAGTTTTTTTATGCCTAAGGCTTTTTCTCATTAAAAAACGTGTTACGTTCTTATTGAATCTTATAACTTTCCTTTTTTTAAATACTGAATCACATAGCGAAATCGCAACGAAGATGTTCCAATCAAACATCGTTAGATACCTTTCACTGACAAATTGTATTACGACTAGGGAACTCGTACGATGATTTAGGATGCACATTTTTAAAATATTTTGTGATACAACTAATTACTTGATTGTTTTTAGAAATGCAAAGTTAGTTTTCAAGATATTTTCTACCAAGTTTCTGGGTAAGATATTTTTTTCCACGTACAAGAAGGTTATATTAATCATGTTGAGTGGCAAAAAATATTCATAGGACATGGTTATTATCCAAGCACGTAAGAAATGATTTATAAAATAGCTAATAGAAATAAACACTTTTGGTTTTTAATAATTTGGGTGAAAAATGAGTTGTATAATCCAAGGATATTTTTTTCAATAGTTATTTATCTATGAATTGCATATCAATTGTAACTACAGTTTTCGTCACTGTCCCAACTAATATTTGAAATTTAAAGTGTACCAAATCACCCAAATTCTCCTTACCTGAATAAGAAATCAAAATGGGCCGAAACTAAAAAATTAAAATTTCTTACAAGATTACAATAGAATTAGTAAACAAAATTCTACAAACAGTGACCGTTTCTTTGACAGTACAGAATAATCTTAAAATTTTTCTTTGAAAAACATTTCAGTAAATAAAGTCACACAATGTATAATTAACTGACGTTTTTTTGGACCATAAAAAGAATATTTGAAAAAATATCTCTTTAATAAGCTTTTGAAAAGTAAAATATACATGCAAATGTTTTAAGTTACAGAAGGCATTGCCCAATCTTAAATATTTACTGTGTTTACTTATGAGTTATAATAATTGTTAACGGAGCTGATATCCGGACATTTCGACTTATGTTATTGTCTGATAACTTATTCTTCTTTTCAAAAGCTTAGCTTGTACCTTATCTGGATCCTGAAATCCATATTATCTTTTATCAATGATTTAATTTTAACTGTTCTTCCATACATTGTAAAATTATTCAGTAAAGATGGTTGGGACGCGGAGCATACAGAGCAGATAAGCCCTGCTAAAATACACAAATACGTATACATATCGATATCTTAGGAAAAGTTTGGCCAGATCAGGCTATGCATGGCTATGATTGTCTCGTTGGATTCCAAGTCATTGCCTTCCTTGTGCTAAATCCTACTTATACTTAGACCAGGCTTCCTCCTGATTTTACTTCAGACACTTAATCAAATAAAATTGAAAGTCCTGCTCCTATTGAATGCTTCTGAGCTTTTTTTTTCCTCAAGACTCCATCATATACTATTGCTAATGTGTACGTACTTGATGCTTTAGACTATGTGCTATACTTGACAGGTAAAATGTTGTGCATTTTTACGCCCAGTATGTACATCTTACATATTCGCCCACTTAAATCTATAGATTCTCTACAGCTTTTACGGAAGATTTATATGATTGATAGATCACTCTTGAAGAAAATTTTTAAATACAAGAACATAATTCAATCTTATTCATAAAGCGTAAAATAAAAAAACTGGTAATGTACACAAGAACTTAATATAATAGTTAATACTTGTTTAAATTCTTTACTTACCCTTATTTTAATATCTTTTGGAGACATTTTGCGTATTTCAGATAATAATCTATCACCAAAACCCTGAAAACAAAATTCATAAATTTTTCGAAGTAATGTAATAAGAAATTCTGCAACAAAAAATATGTGTCTGATTGAGGACATTTACAGATAAAATTTATCAAAAAAAAAAAAAAAAAAAGAAGAAATTTCGACGTTCGTTTTCCATAAAAAAATACTTTAGTTAATTTAAAACGACAATTGAGTGCAGATGAATAGTTGACTTATTATGAGCATTTATAAGTAAAAAATAGCAAGCAAAAAGTAAGGTCATCAGTTGCACCAAAGGATCAAACAGAGACGTTACTTCACGAGCACTACATAGTGATCAGAAAACATCGAAAAGTAACAAAAATCGATGTTCAAAACAATTTTCGAAAAACGGAAGAATTTTGGGGTAAAGTTAATCCTTAGGTTATTTTAGATAGTATGTGACAATTTAGATAGTAATGACAAACATGTGGTATTAAAAAAAAATTCTCACTCGTTTTCAGAGTTTACGCTTTAATAAATTACAAATTTTTAACCTCAAGGGAGGGGTCAAAAATTGCCTAAATTGACTTAGCCTATGTGATAATTTTTGTTCCATTTCAACAGCATTGGAAAAGCAGTTTTTCGCTTGAATTTCAGAAAATGTTGAGTGACCCCTTACTGAAAAAAATGTATGATTTAAATAATACAAATATCTTGGGCCACATGGAATAAGGATCAATCATGCTTCTGGCTCTCGCAAGAAAAAAAAAAATTTTTTAATCTAATTTCCGAAACGAAAAAGATCAAAAAATTGTATTTTTATTTCAACAGGTTAAAAATAAACTTTGTAATGGGTCACAATTTCTATATTTATACCCTTCTATATTTTTATATTTATATCACTTTCAGGAAAAAAAAGGGACAATATTATCGTTTCATTTTCATAGCAAAAAAATTCAATTTACGCAGAAAAAAGTAGAAATACCACTTTTCTACTTACAACTTTTGCAGTATGCATTTTTCGGTTTAAAAATAATGTCAGCCGATAGAATGCAAGAAATAACATTAATTATGTATATTATAACATTGTTTGTAAACTTAAGTCTACAGCAAATGTGTGTATACATATATACAAACAAACACACGGCCAAAAAGTCGATTTTTCCGTAACATTATCTAACAAAGTCAGTTGATTTAAAAAAATTAAAATAATTTTAACTTGCTGTATACACATGTATTTTTTTTTATTTCTAACAGGGAATAAGAGAGAATAATAAGTACAGTAATTAATGCATTACTGTCATTCTCATCATGAGTCCATACAGAATTTACATTACCAACGCACTTGTTAATATGATTTTATTAGCTCAAATTATAGACCTTAATGTTAAAATTCTACTTAAAAAATGTTTACTGAACGGTGTATACTCCCAGAAAGCACTTAATTATCTACGAAGTTTCTGAAATATAAGTTACTACAGTTGAACGGTAGGCTCATGATGGAAGCATGATTAAAGAATAAATGGGTACAGTCACATTGGTATACTGGAAAATAGCTGGATTTCTACGTAAACATCCAGGATACCCATAAAATTCAAGTTTAAAATCCTCATTATTATCAGTGTGAAATAATTTTTTTTTATCTAGTAATCTTCTATAATAAAAAAAGCACCACAAAAAGTAACGGATAAAAAATTTATTTCATGTTAGCAGAAAGTAAAGTTTTTTCAAAACCAACTAATGTTGTTTGATAGAGTTAATGAGAAATCGACTTTTTGGTACTTATCTCGTCGAAATGTTGACATGTATATTTTCTTATTTATTTTTATATTTTTATAGCAAAAACATACATACATCCACACACACACATACATATCTTTCTATATTATGTAATTGTGTGGTTTTGACACGACACCTAGCTCCCTTGCTCCTCCCCTACTTCCGATCAACTGCCCCCAGATCTTTCTTAATAAGGTAATTTTTTTTGTTTTACCTACGAAATTTAACCTAATAAGAATTTATTTGATCAATCTCAACTATTTCCTGCTCTCCACTCTCCCCCGCTCTACCCAGCCCTTCCATGACTCCCCACTCAACTCCCCCACCTCCCCTCGACTCTCCCTTAAATAGTCAATTTTGTACGGTTTGACTTAGTGTTGTGTGATTTCTTATAAATTTGTATGATTTTGAGGTAGTAACTAGCTTCTTTAAAATACGATAATTTTTTTTACCCGTTAAATTTAACTTGAAATTCAAAAAAGAGTTAATTAACACCCGTATTAGTAAGTAATGACACTATCACCTCCAACTAAGCAACTTACTGTCGGTACTATATAACATTGCAATAGTTAAATTAAAATTGCAAGTAAGACTTGGCAGTATGGACTGCGATTCAAACTTTATAAATACATTATTATTCTTACATATTAATGATGTTGGATGCAGTGTAAAAATAAATAATGATACAAACACACATGCCTTTTGTGTAATTTCACGATCACGTTTTAACGATTCTGAGAATTAGCAATATGGTACTCTTTATACGCCACATCCAATGGATTTATACCAGGATTATCTCGAGCTAGACGTTTCAGAAGTTTTGTAGCTATACAGCAATACTGATAGCCTAACAAGTGGAGTTATATCGATATATTTTTCATAACTCTATTCACAAGACCAAGTCCCCTCTTACGATGTATGATCATCAGTCTTCAGAGGTTAAATCATGGATATATAAGAAATATAGACTCCTTATTTTTATGTACGGCGCTGAAGCACAAGTAGAAGGAAATACAACATCGAGCGTGGGTATCTGTTTCTTTCGCACATTGCCAACGGCGGGGGGGGGGAGCAGTAAACTAAGACCAGCTGATGTGACCTCCCCACCGTTAGTAATGTGCGAGAGAGAAATAAAATGTCGTAAAAGACTTTTTTTGTATAGGGAGATAAAAATGTGGACTGCTTTTATCTCTGCCAGTCACACTCACAAATATCAAAACATCTTTTTGTTGTTATCGATAAGGATAGACAGATAAATACTGGTCGATATACCAATAGCTTTGGCAATTTTGCTATGAATATAGGACGCGCATAACTCATTATCATCATTCTACTGTGAGACGTTGAAGCGTTAACATGTATGAGCAAGAAAAAGAGTTACTTAGTCAACTATTCAAGGCAAGAGAAGCCGTAAAAAAGTATAAGCTTTTAAAATTTTGAAAAGATAAGATGGTAAAAAAAATTCATGACACTTTTTAACCAATGACAGATCTCTGAAAAAAATTCTTTGCTCAAACAAAAAAATAAAAATAAAAGGAAGTGTTCTGTAATTCATAACTATTTTAATAAATCATAGAAAAGTAATGACAGTGATATTGATATCAATAAAAATTTGAAGATTATTAATAAAAATCAAAATAATTAGTTGAATATGATTTAAAGAGTACGGAAACAAAAAAAACGAATAAGCTAGGTAGTTTGCCAATTCATTTTGAAAATAACAAAATTAGAATAAACGAGTTTTAATATCCAACAAGTGTTGGCTTGATGTAATCACTTGTTGAAAAACGTCCAAACGAATTATTATACACATGAGATGAATTAGAAAAATCTTATATAGTTTGGTTTTACAAACTTTAAGTGGAGACAGGAAAAGATATAGCAAAAATGAGGCCACTTGAAAGCACAACAGTAATTAAATTATTGCTCCAATTTTTGAACTTATAGGTAAAAAAAAAGGATGATGGTTACCTCGTTACAAAATTACTCGAGCAATGCAGTATATAGATTATGTGCACTGGGACGATCCAAATTAGTTGGTAGACCATCTTCGATTATTTAATGCTGAAAAATCAGCAGCAAATCTCAGCTATAACGAGATAATATCCATTGTTAGCAATTTAGATAATGTTTTTCCTCAAAAAATAGTTAATTTAAAGCTAGAAAGAAACATTATTAAAAACGTTTTGTTCCAGAATACACACATAACTCCAGATAATAATTAAAATATGACATAAATATGAGAGAGACGGCTCTTCCATTTTCTTCTCATTCTCCTCTTCCTTTATCATGATTGTAAAAAGAATTTAAAAATAAATCATTTAATTAATTTTATTTATTAGATCGAAGTCCCTGCTTTCGAAAACCTTCTCGTCAGAAATTGGGACATCTAAAGATGGAGAGTGAGGTGATGGATCAGTTTTTGGAATCTTTTCAACCCAATATATATTCACAAATTCATTATAATACGTGTAAAAATTTGATGACGTCTATGGAAATAATGTTATTAAACCTAGATCACTATATTCATCTGATAAAAGTTGGAGTAAAAATCCTCTTTACTTATCATCAACATGGACGTATACTTTTTTCACAATTGAGCCAAAGTATAATTTAAAAACCTATATGTACGAACTTAGTAACATATCCTTTTACGTGGATAAAGATCCCTGTAGATGTGCTCACGACTAGCTTGAGGCAACAAATGACGACTCTAGAGCTCGATGTTGTCTTATATTCTCTCTGGCTTGAGTGGGGGTGGAGTTGAAAACTTCGTCTTCTTGTTCTTGACTGTACAGACGTAGTGAAACTTTTTAAAAAACTGTTAATCCTTCCGTAGACTCGGCCACCCATATGATTTTGACCAGCTCGAAGCGACAAATGACGGCTTCGGAGTTCAACTTTCTTTTACATCCATACTTATATATATTTTAAACAGATGCATCAAGGTTTATATTCTGTAGTGACTGGATTTGATGGTTTTCATTTAACAAACTTAAAGAAAAGTGTTTTTTTAGCTCTCTAGCCAGTAAGTTTTATTTTTCTTTGAAAGGTGTGGCATATAAATCATGGTGCTCAAAAGATGATGTGACAATCACTTCACCAAAAATTCCATTTATGTCTTTATCTATTTGCCCCTGATAATCTCTGTACTTTTTTTGTCATGAAGACTGAAAAAACCTCTCCAAGAAGTTCAGTATGTTCGATATACGTCTAATGCTTTGAAACTGTTTACAAAAATTGATTAAGCTTGGTAATTTAATGAAGCTGCA